TATGAATAAATACAAGAGAAAATTATTAAATCAAAAATAAAAAATGATTATTGTCCAAATAAATCATATGTGATTAGATACATATAATCACATGTGTTTACATGTATTTAATCACATATGATTAAATTTGACAAAGAACAATTATTGAATCGAGAACGTGAAAATGAATCTTCTCCACAAAAATCGTATGTGATTGGATACAAATAATCACATGTGATTATATGTATTTAATCACATATGATTATATGTGATTAAATACATATAATCTAATCACTTGTGATTAAATAATGAGAACAACTATTGAATCGAGAAAGCAAAAATGAACAATGTCCTCATAAATCATATGTGATTAGATACATACAATAGTCACATGTGATTATATGTATTTAATCAGATGTGATTTATGTGGACATGATTCGTTTTTGCGTTCTTGATTCAATATTTATTATCGTGTATATAATTACATGTGGTTATATATATACCTAATTACATATGATTTATATAGACAAGATTCGTTTTTTCCAAATAAAATCATATGTGATTAGAAGCATATAATCATATCTGATTAAATGTATATAATCACGTATGATTAAAGTGGAAAAAAACAATTATTGAATCGAGAACGTGAAAATGAATCTTGTCTAGATAAATCATATGTGCTTAGATACATATAATCATATGTGATTATATGCATTTAATCACATATGATATATGTGGACAATATTTATCTTTGTGTTCTCGATTCAATAGTTGTTCTTGTGTATATAATAATATGTATCTAATCACATATGATTTATATAGACATCATTATTTTTTGTCCGTATAAATCATATGTGACTAGATACATATAATCACATATGATTATATGTATTTAATCACATATGATTACAGTGGACGAAGAACAATTATTGAATCGAGAATGTGATAATGAATCTTAACCATATAAATCTATATGATTGGATAGATATAATCACATTTGATTATATGTATTTAATCAGATATGATTTATGTAGACAATATTTATTTTTTCGGTTTTGACTGAATAATTAATTGTGTGTAATTAATCACATGTGATTATATGTATATAATCACATATGATTTGAGGTGGACAAGATTCATTTTTTCCTTCTCGATTCAATAGTTGTGCTCATATACTTAATCACATACGATTATACATTTAATCACATGTGATAAAATACATGAGAACAACTATTGAATCAGAAAAGTAAAAATGAATTATGTCCACATAAATCATATGAGATTATATTCATATAATCACATGTGATTATTTGTATTTAATACATATGATTAATTTGGATAAAGATTTGTTTTTGCGTTCTAGGTTCAATAGTTGTTAACGTGTATATAATTATATGTGATTGTATGTATCTAATCATATATGATTTAATTTTTCCAAATAAAATCATATGTGATTAGAAACATATAAATCACATCTGATTAAATGTATTTGATCACATATGATTAAAGTGGAAAAAACGATTATTGAATCGAGAACGCGAAAAGAATCTTAGCCACATAAATCATATGTGATTAGATACACATAATCACATGTTATTAGGGTATCTGTGAACAATAACATAAATAAAGTAATGCCTACATAATAGGAGAGTTAGTACTCACCACCAACCCACCTGCGACTACCACGTATGATTAAAGTGGAAAAAAACAATTATTGAATCAAGAACGCGAAAATGAATCTTAGCCACATAAATCACATGTCATTAGATACACATAACCACATGTTATTTTATGTATCTAATAACATATGATTTATGTGGACAATAATTATTTTCATGATCTCGATTCAACAGTTGTTATCGTGTACTTAATCACATGTGATTACACATATTTCATGTAACTCACCTCCTTAATAGGAGAGTTAATGTAACTCACTTCCTTGAACTTGAAAACCAGCTAGTATGAACAACATGTATCATTTTATTTCCGAGAACTTACACAACAATTATAACATTATTTATCTTGTGCTTTGGTTTACTACTTTTATAAAACTTATGTATATATTTTCTTATTTTCTCTTTGATTGTAGTGTGCTTTTGGGGATCTATTTTCTTACCTTTTAACGCATTCTTAAATTTTGATAAAATAATATTAGTAAAGTTACACCTTTTATCTTTTCATAAATATAAAGATCTTATTCTAATGATTTTTGGTTGATTTTATATTAAATTTACAAGTTAGTAACTTTAGGTTGTCACTTTCTGGACCACTCAACACTCTTGGAATAAACTGTACTAATCTACTAAGAATTACATCAATACTTTTATATGTGGGAAACTATACATCCATATCTAATTATAGGATTTGGAATTTTAGCTTTTGGAGTTCTAATGAATTTATTATGATTTTTTCAAGACAATACATGAAATTTGTGACAACATGGACCAGCCTGAGAAGATTGCCAATTTTATTCCTCAAGGAGTTGGAATTTCGAAATGTGATTCAAAGTTTGAAGAAACTGGACAAACTAAGATTTCAAGAAAACTAAGTCTCATGATTTTTAGATGTTGTTATTGACCTGCACAAATTTTAGAAGTTGGAGGATAGATTTGGGAAAATTGATCATAGTAGCTTTTAAATCACTTTTGGTGTTCTATTAAGGACTTAATGGTTAAGCCTTAAGTTTATCACTTTTTATATGATTGTTGATTTTTTATTAGGCTATTATGATATGAAATTCAATTTAACCTAAGATCCTTAATGCTTGGCTTAATGAGGGTTTAAAGTTAAAGGATTTTCATATAAAATGCTACTTTTTCATTGAGACATTTCATCGAACACTTGGTGTTTATAAAAAGTCTATACAAATAATATGTCTGGATCAGAGTGTCGATGTCAAAATATATTATCAAATTCCTAGTTAATATTGATAATATAATCTATAAATCATTCAATACTAATATTATGACCTCTAAATGAATTAAATATTATATACTAAATAATAAAACTGATAATTTATAGAATGCTAGATGTAGGGAGGGTTTGCCTTTTCTTACCTGCTGCCGAGAAGAAACAGAAAACAAAGAAAGAAAGTCAATATATCACTCTTCCTCTTCCTTGAACATTAGCACCCTTTTCTCTAGACATCTCTTTTTTTTTATTTTTTACTTTTTGTACCACGCTGTACAAGATAGAAGAACAACTGCGATTTAGGGCACTGCTTAAGGGCATGAAATTCTCATTCATTTTCAATGAATTGTTGGAACGCTCTGAGATCGGAGGAGGAGATGATTTGGAAAAGTCGTTATGCTTGCTGATGGTACCGGAAGTAGAGTTGAGAATGTCGGACCGATAGTAGATCGCCCAACGACATTACCATGGAGTTGTGGTATATATTCACATACAATTTTACAAGGTGAAAAGCCATGAGTTGAGAACTGTGGAACTAGAAGAAGATTTGGTAACATTCAGCTGTAGATTCGATGGAACTATATCTTATGGCATGTGAATCGATATCGTTGTCATGATTTAAAAAATGTTCTCAATGTTCTCACGGGAAAAATGTTCTCATTGGAACATAACTTTTTTTTTTCTCTCTCTCTTTTTATATATATATATATATATATATATATATATATATATATATATATATATATATATATATATATATATATATATATATATATATATATATATATATATATATGCCGCCTTGTGTTGTCACCCTCGTGCATATGCATGCGTAATTAGCTGAACTTAATTGTATAATGAGCTTTTATGAAATCGTTTTTTTTTTTGTCTACGTGTCAATTGATAATTGAATAAGTATTCCATTGTTAATGAGATAAGTTAAAAGTACCCGACATACGTGATTAAACTAATGTGACTAATTTTGTAATAATCAAGATTCAACATGGGTAAATTGGCACTCTAATTTAAAGGACTCTCCGAAATGAAACACTATAAATATTATAAACATCTCTACTAAAAAGCTTTGTAAATTGACATAACGGGGGACACAATACTTTCTAAGTCAAAGCTTTTGTAGTTTTTGACCCGCTATGCTGTTTTATCCGATTGATCGGTATGAAAAAAAATGTAATATATATATTTTGATTAAAAAATTAAATTGTTTATTATTTTTTTTCTATAAATATTCATAACTATTAAAATTTTAACACGTATCAATATTCATATTTTTTTTAATTATCTCATTAAGCATATATTAAGGAAATCAAATAAAATTAAATTGAATCATAGAATGATGACGGTTATTATAATTTTAATGAGTGAAATCTCTAAAAATTTCTTTAAGAAAATAGCTTAAAACTATATAAAAATCTATATGGCTCTATGTGTGCTAAAAGAAACTTATATATATATATATATATATATATATATATATATATATATATATATATATATATATATATATATATATATATATATATATATATATATATATATATTAAACTCCATACTTTTTCGGGATCAAAAAGCTTAAACTGTCGTAACAATTACATAGCTCATTCATTTGTATCATTTCGGTTGATATTAATCAAATTCCGCTTAATGACTATTGGTAGTTTTGCTTGTTCTTTCACTTGTCCGCTTGGTGAACCATTTATGCTAAAACTAAAATCAGAAAGATTTGTTAAAATCCAAAAATAAGATAGAAATATGTAATCTCTTATGATATTCCATAAAAACAAAACTATTTTACTAAAAGAATATGACAATGAACCAAATTTAATCCACTTGAAAACACATTCCTCAAAATCTTAGGCGTGACACACCATAGTGGGGTACATTATCATGATGTAGATGAACACACACACCATCCCCCTCAAATTTTGCCATTTCAAGATCATCTCCCTCAACCTCTCTAATTAATATATCTTTCTACACAAGTCAACCCCACCATCCTATGACATGCACATTGGTATCACTCATGCAACATAATCACATCATCCTCATAGTCATCATGCATGCACCCATTGTCCCCCTTTTATCGTTTTCAGTTATATTCTATTCCGGCGACTAGTGAACGTCTGAAGCACCACCGTGCCGGCAGCTGGGAACTCATCCATACTGAAGCTCCGGCACTTCAGCCCAAGATGTTCCACCGCACCCTTTATACGTGCACACATGTCCTGACTGGCGCTGGTGGTGGCAACGGAAACTGTCCCTGGACCAAAAACTCTCACGGCTTTTTTCACCATATCCGCCATGTCGTCATTGTAAATAGACGCAACGCACTCGAAGCTTGCGTAGCTAAACCCATCCTCCGGCGTCACGTGAATAGTGGAATAACGGTCGCCGTCAATGCCATTCATTGAGTACCCACAGGGGTCGAAAGCGAAATCACATATGTGCGCATTTTGGTTAATACGGTTGATGCCTGTTATCTCCGTCATCTCTCTTCCAGCAGAGTCACCGTTTTTTCCATCGTTTGGATGGCGAAAAAACTTGCGAGCTAGGGTTTGATCAAGATCCGTCATGCACACCTCGACCGTGTATAAGTCTAGTGGTGCGTTATCGGAGTATTCAACAGCTCCGGCAGAAAACACATGCCATGAGTGAGACTTGAGTTTAGAGGGAATTACAGAAGCTTTTCTGTAACATAGGCTTGCGGGGATGCTATCCTCCAAGTACGCTACTTCTTCTTGGAAACTGGTGTGAGGGTGTGGTTGAGCTTGTGGGAAGATGAAGCTTCCACGGGTGTAACGAAGAGCCGTTATATGAAGGTTGAGGGTTCTAGCGTGATGAATGAATGGTTGAACCGATTTCAAGAGCTGAGTGGTGCCACAGGTTTTGATGATAATCTTGGTAGGGTAAACAAAGAGTGAGGATTCAGACAAGACGTATGAATCAAAGTGTAGATTGCCAAGTGCTGAGACAACCGTACATTGTACTTGATGGAGAACTTGTTCAAGAAACTTGAATTCGAGTTCCCTGAGGCCAATGCCGATATCAGGATCATGACTGGAGAACTGAAGCTCCAGTCGTTTTTCAAAGCCTTCGAAACCAGAAACGGCCATGGATGAAAGGTGATGGAGTATAATATAGTTGTTGCAATATTAATTGTGTTTGTGATGGGTAGAATAGAGTAGTTTGGGTTATGAACGGTTATATAGGGGTGTAGTTATGGAGAGAGAAAGGGTGGGGGAAAGAGTGGAGGAGCATGCGGGTTTGGCAACCAAGAGATATCATTGAGAGCATAATGAATACAAGATTTTAGCTTGTGCTCAGCAAAGATAAAGTGGGCATTGGCTCGATTGTGTCTGCTAATGCTAATTTCACAAACTAAATTCAGCGAACTAGAAAAACTAAACCCAAAAAATGTATTTGGAAAAGGACATTATACGACTTTCATCCGTATTTCGTTTAGCTTTGTCCATTTTCTCATGAGAAAGAAAAACGTCTATGTCGTACATATGCCCTTTTCTCTATTTAAAACTCACACATTCATTAAGCAATTTAATTTGCAATCTAAAATGGAGTGTAAAACCACTATTTTATTTCTTATTTAATATATAATTTAATGCCTGGGTCCACTAAACTTTACAAAATTAAATCATAAATAAAATATTTTCCCCTAATAATAATCTCATAAATTAGAAATATATATAGGTAATTTAAATAGATGATACAATGAAAAGATTATATATGTACAATGGGATGAATACAAAATTAATACAATCTTAATATAGTGATATACTTAGAGCTAGGGGTGAGCATTTGGACCGGACTGGACCGGCTCTTGGACCGGACCGGTTAGGGAGAAAAACGTGGACCATGGACCGGACCGGATGCATCGTGTCCGTGTCCGTGTCCGTGTCCGGGTCCGGGTTTTCCGGTTTTTGGACACGTTTGGACCGGTACCACTTTAGTTGCGTAAAGTATAAGTAATCTACATTGATGTAAAATATTATAACTTGCAAACTTAATTTTCCAAATAAAAACAACTAACATATATTTCAAGTTCACCAACAAAAGTTAACAATTTAAACACAAACATACAAAAATAATACCATAGCAACAAAAAACATAGTTTAAAGTTTAAACTTTAAAAGCAATCAAAACAACAAACTTCATAAACTCGTAATCTAATCTTCCATTGGCTTCTTCCCCTTATCATTGTCATCAATATGTAATATATTTAAAGCTTGTGCAATCTCTACATAAACACAAATGAAAATGTTGTTAGTATTTAATAAAAAGTAATATTGTATAAAAAAAGAACAAAGCTTGTAATTTTTTTTTACCCAAAGCTATATCATCATCGTTCAAGATGTCATCAACGTTGTCAATTATCGGATTTGTAGTTTTTCTCACCCAATCTTGGGTGCATAACAAAGCTTCAACTATCAACGTCGATAAACTAGTCCGATACTCACTTATAACTCTACTACATGTGCTAAACGCGGACTCGGACGCTACACTTGAGATTTGTATCGCCAATATATCTAACAACAAAGAATTAAATTGTAATAACATTAATTTATAAATAAATTATGAAAGTACAAAAAAAAGTAATCACCTTTCGCCATCCGAGCAATTGTTGGGAACCTAATTGCGTTTACTCTCCACCACCCGAGAATTGAGAAATCTTTTTTATAATTAACTATATTCTCTTTCAAATAAGTTCGTAACTCGTTATCCGTTGGATCCGAGTTGCTACCTCCCGTACAAAGAAAATCACCGAAAAAATCATTATCATCATCAACATCAATGGCTATTTGACTCGCTTCTTGTTGAGATGATCCACCGCTGTCAAATCGTTCCAAGTAGGTCATAAATAAATTTTCCATCCTATTCTCAACCTCTCGGACCATTTGACGTGCTTTTATGTCTATGCTCGCGGGGGTCAATGATGGTTCCATGTACCCGATCATTTTTTTAAAAGCATGTAACAAAAAAGGTGATTTGGTGGTAGGATCAAGTAAAACCGCAAAGTACATAAAATCATTCATCTTGTTATATGCACCCCAATACTTTTCGTATTTCGTCCTCATATCTTTTACCATATCGAGAAACATTGGTTTGGTTGACCACTTTCTTAGATGTATGTCCACATCTAAGACTTCCCTGATAAAAAGATTTACCAAAGGTTTTGATGTAGCCGAAACAAGCTCTGTTTTTGTTTTGAATTTTTCAAAGAATTTCACCATTTCGGTTACAACTTCAAAGTCATAATTTTCCGGTACTCTACCGAGATCCCTTTCATATGATTTATCTGTCAAAGATACATAAACAAACAAAATTATAGTCTAAACAAAATCTTAATAATTTTGCTGAAAAGATGATATATAACTTAAAAATAAATATTACCTCTTATGCCAAATTCCGTAAATGCCTCTCGTAACTCATATGCGGACTTCAATAACTCGAAAGTCGAGTTCCATCGGGTAGGAGTGTCACCACATAGAAACTTCTTCGTTTGTAAGCCACAATCTTTCATCGCCTTCTTGAACTTGTTTATTCTTTGTGGTGACAATCTAATGTACCGTACCGCCTTTTGGATACACTCAACATGATAGTTTTGGTATTTTAGTCCATCCTTTACGATAAGGTTTAAAATGTGAGCCATACACCTAACTTGGAAATGCTTTCCACCCTCGTAAAGATTGGGCAACTTTTTGACCAAAAAGTCCATTGCCTTGTCGTTTGTAGCGGCGTTGTCCAAGGTAATGGTCATGACATTTTTCATTATCCATTCACGAATACAATCGAGTAATTCTCGGCCCATATCCTCTCCCTTATGGCTATCTATCTCCCTAAAGTTTATAATTCTCTTGTGCATCATCCAATTCTCATCTATGAAGTGAGCCGTGACCACCATGTAAGTAGTCCTTTGACAAGAAGACGTCCAAGTGTCCGTTGTCAAATGTATAGCGGTCTTTGGGTTACTTAAAAATTGAAGCATTTTGGTTCTTTCTTCTATGTAAAATTTGGAAACATTTCGGGATATTGTATGTCTAGATGGCAACACAACCTTAGCATTAAGTGCATTGGTGTATTCCACAAAAGCCTCGTTTTCAACGAACTTGAAAGGTAATTCGCCTACCACAAAAAGGTTAAGTAATGCTTTTTTGATCCTTGCATCATCGTGTTTCCATGTTTTAACACTAGTATCTCCATTTGACTCCTTTTTTAGATTCAATTTGGTTTGAGTTGGATCTTGTAGCTTATTCGGGTTTTTTTGACACCGATCTACGTGTTTGAGTAAACTAGAAGTCCCATTCCTTTCCACATCCGCCTTTAGTAGCCTTTCACACCATTGACATTTTCCATATCTTCTTTCCATACCATCATCTTCTTTTATCATAACTTTATCAAATGAGTCCCAACAAGAGGATGTTTCTTTGCCACTTGTTTGTTTTTTTTTTTTTTTGTGACTTGTTTTCGTTTTGCTATTTGTTCTTTTTCGTTTGTTAACATTTGATTGATCATCTTTTGCCGAATCATCAACTAAATTGATTTGTGGTGTATCCTCAATAAATTCCTCTTCATCAACATTCGTATCCTACATTACATATAGTCGCAACAAAAATGTTTTCACAATTAATCAACAAAATATAACAACATACTTTATAACTTTCAACAAATATTAACAAAATTCAACCAAAAAACATACCCTTACTTTACATACAATCACAATAAGTTTTTTTTTACCAACAAATAACCTAAATATAACAACATACTTTATGACATTCAATAAAATTTAACAAAAATCAACAAAAAAATCATAACCCTAGTTTACATGCAATCAAAACAAAAATGTTTTCACAATTAATCAACAAAATATAACGACATACTTTATAACTTTCAACAAATATTAACAAAATTCAACCAAAAAACATACCCTTACTTTACATACAATCACAATAAGTTTTTTTTACCAACAAATAACCTAAATATAACAACATACTTTATGACATTCAATAAAATTTAACAAAAATCAACAAAAAAATCATAACCCTAGTTTACATGCAATCAAAACAAAAATTTTTCACAATTAATCAACAAAATATAACGACATACTTTATAACTTTCAACAAATATTAACAAAATTCAACCAAAAAACATACCCTTACTTTACATACAATCACAATAAGTTTTTTTTACCAACAAATAACCTAAATATAACAACATACTTTATGACATTCAATAAAATTTAACAAAAATCAACAAAAAAAATCATAACCCTAGTTTACATGCAATCAAAACACAAACTTTTTCACAATTAATCAACAAAATATAGCAACATACTTTATAACTTTCAACAAATATTAACAAAATTCAACCAAAAAACATACCCTTACTTTACATACAATCACAATAAGTTTTTTTTACCAACAAATAACCTAAATATAACAACATACTTTATGACATTCAATAAAATTTAACAAAAATCAACAAAAAAATCATAACCCTAGTTTACATGCAATCAAAACACAAACTTTTTCACAATTAATCAACAAAATATAGCAACATACTTTATAACTTTCAACAAATATTAACAAAATTCAACCAAAAAACATACCCTTAGTTTACATATAATAACAATAATTTTGTTTTGACAAGTATTCAACTAAATATAACAATATTGTTTGTTATTTCAACAAAATTTAACAAAAAAATAACCAAAAATCGTAACCCTTACTTGAATTTCATCATCATCAAGTGCAATCCAATTAGCGATCCCGGTTTTTGATTCCATTAATTGTGAATCGAGACTTGAGAGAAACCACACTTGAGAGTTGAGACTTGAGAGAAAAGAATTGGCTACTTGCGATTTGAGGTTACAGATTTCAGATTTCCGATTTCGCTTGGCTGCTTGGCATCGACTAGAGTACTAGACGAGTAGAGGACTATTGCTTGGCTGCTTGGCATCGACTACTAGACTAAGACGACTATTGCAGTATTGCTTGCTGATTGCGGTGCCATTCAGGTTTCAAAAAAGACCATGGCCGATTAAGGATTTGACTTCGAACGAGAATTGAGATGGTCGACTTCGAACGAGGGTTTTTTTGGTTTGCAAATTATCGGTAATACTAATAGCCGTATCACGTGTTATGGGATAGGGAACGATCGTTTTTGCAATTGTATAACTAGGCCGATATATGTTTTTTTTTTACCATGTCCAACCGGTCCCGGACCCGGTAAAAACCGGACCGAACCGGGAAAAAAACCGGACCGAACCGGGTACAAAACTTAGAACCGAGAACCGGCCCGGAGGTCCAAAAAAACGGTCCGGTCCGGGTCACCGGTCCAAACGCTCACCCCTACTTAGAGCTACCCCTGGTGCAACTTGATTTTGACGATTGCTGTGAGCATTCAGATTGGATCAAAAACCAAAAAACAAGGCACACGACAATCATTTAGTGATAATATCAACCTATTGAGAGGATGTAGACGACAATCATTTAATGAAAATATCAACCTGTTGAGAGGATGATGGAATGTGTAACACATGTAGTTCGTCAACGTGAGTGTATCATTGTCAAAGTGGATGTCAATCTCAATGTGCTTGATTCGATGATACTACACAAGATTGTTAGATAAGTAGGCTAAAGTGATATTTTTTTTCAAAGCGAAAATTCAAGAAGTCTGTAACACTCGGTTCCAGGTATGCTTTTAACTTAAATCAATATTATAATTTCACTCTTGGACTTGACGAGTTTATGGCCTAACTCGTCGAGTCAGAACGAATCCGGGTTGGGGAAATAAGTAACCTACTCGACAAGTCGGAAGACCGACTCGGCGAGTAGGCGTTGTCTGATGAGAACCCTAATTTCAAGGGTTGGTTCCCCTATTTAAGGAACATAAGCCCCCTTTGGCCTCCCTTATCACCCCCTCAATATCCAGAAAACCCTAAATCGCCACCTTTGTGTATTGTGAGTATTTGAGTGTCATTTCTTGTGATATCTTTTGTGTTTGAAGTTGGGTGAAGAAGAGGAAGAGGGAAGACTTCAAGAAAAGAGTTCAGATCTAGAATCAACATAACTTTCCCCTCACTTTCTGGTAATAAAGCTTCCCTATTCACTTGTGATTTCCTATGTCTTCTTATGGTTATCTTGGGATAAGAAGCTTGACTCTTGGGATTTGGACGTCCCAAGTCGATTCGCCATCAGATCTAGGACCTTGAAGGGTCCTCATGGCATAAAGGTGCCATCTTTAGGGCCATAAGAACCCTATGCATGCTAAAACCTCCATTTTTGGCCTTTTTAGCTCCAATGATATATGCATGCACGTAAAGTTCATAACTTTACGTGTTAGATCGACCTTAGAAGCCTAGATCTACCTTTTGGATGAGAGTTGGTCCGTGCACCCAAACTCTGTGAACCCTCAGGTTCTAACTCTGGGAACCTTCCGATTCTAACTCTATCAACATGCACAACATAAATCACATAGAAATAATGCAGTACAACACATAACCTACATAGCATACAAATACTCTGTCACATAACTCTGGTTACCTACTCAAGGTAAGGTATAGTGAGAAGACTCACATTGCGTATCTTAGTAATTCGTAAATCCTTGAAATCACTAGTGCTCGATCTCTCGAGCTATAGTCCTCCTATAACACAATACATCTCTAATCACACTTTCCCAATTAAGGTTGACTAACTCTATCAAGTCCACACTGGTCAACTCTGGTCAATGGTCAATGATCAACCCCAACTCGCCGAGTCCCTACGAGGACCCCACTTCCTCTGAGTCCCTTTCGACCCACCGAGTCACTCACCCAACTCGGTTACTCAACCCTTGGTTCTAAATCTATGAACAACCTGCACCAACTCGTCGAGTCTGCCAATAGACTCGGCGAGTGCATTCCATGCACAATCCCAAACGACATTCTGAGGTCAGATCTGTTCCACTAACTCATAGATCCAGTCCTTCCAAGCTTATTTATCACATAAAGTCGCTATCTTGATGTACATACAACATCTATATGACCATATATGATGATTTAGCCCCAAATACCACAACTCAAGGTCATAACCTCCGTTGATCTTCATAAAGCTTGATGAGTGAGGCTCTCTGGACCTCTATGGATCCAGATCCAAAGCCTCATCACTAGAAAGGGACTATTTGGGCATCAAATCAACCCAACAAAGGCCACAAGAAACCCTAAATCCAAATATACTTTATAAAACAGAAGAAGACCTGAATTAATACCTCAAGTGCGATGATCTAAGCTTCTAATCCACAATATAGCAACCTCCTTTGGTTCCTCTTGGTTAGGACCTCCTTCTTCTTGCTAAGCAACACCACAAAGGTCAAGAATGGCTTCCTTTCTCTCTTAAAACGCTCAAGCACTCTAGGGTTTCTCTCTATGGATTGGTGAGCACAAATGACGGCCATAAGGCCCTTTAAATAGGCCACAAACTCGAAAAATTAGGGTTTCATTAAACAATGCTGACTCGCCGAGTCCACCAATTCGACTCGTCGAGTTCGATCATTAATCCGGATGAGAAATCGCGTCTCTACTCGGCGAGTCTACGCAGCAACTCGCCGAGTTCCTATTCAAAACTCAAAATAAAAAGAAAAAATATAATACCTGAAATTCCGGATGTTACAACTCTCCCCCACTTAAATTTGACTTCGCCATCGAAGTCTCATCCCTGAAATAGCTCCAGATGCTGCACACACATCACACGCTCCAGTTCCCAAGTAAGCTCTGATCCTTTCCGATGCGTCCACTGGACCTACACCAGAGGCACCTCCTTGTTCCTTAGAACCTTGATCTTTCGATCCAAAATTGCAACTGGTCTCTCTACATTGTTCATGCTCGAATCCTCCTGAATGTCCTCTAACGGCACTACCGCCGACTCATCGGCTATATACTTCCTCCACTGAGACGCATGGAAGGTATTATGAATCCGCTCCCATTCTGCAGGTAGCTCCAAGCAATATGCTACCTTGCCCACCCTCGCGATCACTCTGAATGGCCCAAGATACCGGGGTCCTAGCTTGCCCCTCTTGCTAAATTGAATCACTCCTTTCCAAGGAGATGCCTTCCGGAGAACATAATCACCGACCTGGAACTCGAGCTCGGATCGTCGCCTGTCCGCATAACTCTTCTAGCAACTCTGAGCAGTCAACAACCTCTTTCTGACCTGCTGAATCTGCTCTGACATCTAAAGCACGGTCTCTGTTCTTCCCATCACACGTTGCCCTACCTCTCCCCAGCAAATGGGGTCTGATACCTCCTTCCGTACATCAGCACAAAGGGTGGCATACTGATGCACTAATGATGGTTGTGGATGTAGGAAAACTCTGCCAAGGGAAATTACGGGCCACAATTCCCCCCCCCCCCCC